AATACAGATGAAAAGTTAGCATTCAAATTGAGATGTGCTGTAATTATAAAATGCACAAAAGATTTTAAAACCTTATATTAGGGGCACCTGGCTGGCTCAGTTGGCAGAACGTGCAAGTCTTGATCTCAGGGTTGTAAATTCGAGCCCCACGTTTGGATGTAGAGATTACTTAAAAATAAAAATTCATCAAAAAAAAAAAGAAGAAATGTGATTACTAGACATTGTAAAATTATTTATGAGTTGTACATTATATTTCTTAAAATTTTTTTTTTCAACGTTTATTTATTTTTGGGACAGAGAGAGACAGAGCATGAACGGGGGAGGGGCAGAGAGAGAGGGAGACACAGAATCAGAAACAGGCTCCAGGCTCTGAGCCATCAGCCCAGAGCCCGACGCGGGGCTCGAACTCACGGACCGCGAGATCATGACCTGGCTGAAGTCGGACGCTTAACCGACTGCACCACCCAGGCGCCCCATTATATTTCTATTGAATAGCTCTGGATGTCTAATTTTCATTGGACCCCCTGGAATGATTGAGTAATCTAATGAATAGAAATTGGGAGAGAATATTGTCCTTGTTGGAGTTCCCTAGCAAACAGACATGGAGGCAAAGCTTAACTGTTAATGTTTTGCAGGGAGGTACAATCCCAGAATAGTGAGAGTGTAGGAAAAAGGAAGTGAGTCAGAGACAGTGGGAAAGTACCTTTGGGCAGATGCTGGGAAAGTCTGATGCTAGGTTCTGTGGCATGATGTCTCATCTGAGATTTAAAGTGATGATAGGGGCCAGAATAACCATGGGACTGATTGGATTTGGCCTCAGTCCTGGGGCTACAAGGCCCATGTGGGTTGCCATGCTAGGCTGTTTTGGTTCTGTTGGATTATGGTTACTGTAATTTCCCATTGATAATTAATATTGGGCATGGAAGTGGTAGAAGATATTCCACTGACTACTCAAGGTTCCAAACATAATCCTCCCTGCCTTCATTAGGTTGTAGCAACTCTAGCTTCACCTGGTAATCAGAATTCATTACCCCAGCCAGTACATTAGCTCCATTTTTTATCTGTTTGTCCAACAGAATAAGGAACCCAAAATGACTCCAAAATACTAGTCACAACTTCCAATTGGGTGGAACCTTGTATATTCCCCAACCCCTGGAACCAAGACTTCTAACCTAACAGAGTCAACAGTTTCAGTGATAAGAAACACAAATTCCATTAGTGAGTCACTGATAATGATGACAAGAGAGGCAACGGCTATTTCTACATCTTGGTTCCTATACCTGTATACTCTAGTTCTGGGGCACACACCACTTTATATTCGCCAGAGTTTAGTGCATATACTGCATTCTAAAGGAAGGGCTCCAACCCCATTAGGTGCCGCCCTCCAGCTGACATCTAAGCTGAGACTTCCACCGGCCATTGCACTGTTTTGTTGTTATTGTTATTGTTTGTTTTGTTTTAGGTTGGCTGCTCTTGGGCAATTGGGTACTCGGTAAAACCAGTGATTCTCAAGTTCGTGAGCTCATCTTCACATTTCCTTTGACATTGAGTGGATCTATTTTCCTTTTAAATTTTATTTTATTTTATTTAATTATTTTTTGAGTGGGTCTATTGTTTAAGACAATGTTGTAGGGATACCATTTCAAGAGAATGAATTCTATAACTCTAGGATGGTGCTAGTGGATACACTGCAGTCAAGGAAGGCAGAACATTTTCAGAATATGTATCAGTTTCAGTAAATCAATTTGATGGCCCCACCAAGGAGGAAGGGGTCCAGTGTAATCAATCTGCCAACAGGTGGCTGGCCGGTACCATTGTCCAGAGCTCAGCAAAGAACATTGATAAAGGATGTAGAAGGCTAGACCACCTATTCATGTAGTTTACTCTAGTTTACTGTGTAGAGCTCAGTAAGATCGTCCTTGGTGAAAGAAATCCCATGTTGCTAGGTACGTGCATGCCTTTCATCTTTGCTACTGTGGACACTTTCCTCATGTGCTCAATGCCAAATACTGGAGTGGTACACAGACACGCTGGCTAAAATCCACCAGAGTGGATCAAGTATATAGAAAGGACCAGTCTTTCTATATACTTGATTGTCAAGACCCTCCTCTGTGGTACATGTTCTCTTGTGAACCTTAACGTGAGACACAACAAAACTGCATATGTTGTGTCCACTCCTACAGGGTCCATCCACATATTATCTACTCAGACCTCCATATCCCCCATCTTCCATCCTCATTTCTTTTAAGGCTGTTTTAAGCAAGACTTGACTCTACGCAGGTGTCAATATATAACTGTATCTCAGGCTACCTCTCCTTTCACATGAGGTGAAAAATCAAACATAAGTCTCCTAACTCTGTGTGCTGAGATTTTCTTTCACTAAATGTCATTCAGGGCCATTCCGGAATGGGACTGTAATGTGGCAGCTAACCTTTTATGGCTATTTCCAATATATATTGCACCAGCCTACATGTGAATCAGGCCTCTATCAGTTGATCATAAGGGACTCCCCATGAGGTCATCAGTGCAGCACTGATTCATGATGTAGAAGGCTATTGTAGTTTACTCGAGTCCTCTGGGCTTTGCTCGAGTTTGAATATATCACTTCCTACATACAATGGGACATTGGTGCCCCTGCCCAGTTCTATGACTTGGTTGATTTGATAATCCTCAGTTGAGGCTTCATAGTCCTTTAATGTACCATGGTCAGGTGTTTGGTCTTTGTTAAGACCTAGTAGCATACTAGGACCTATTTTTCAGAGTAGTTCTTTATGGTGAATTGCATAGCTTTGTTTTAGGATATAAGGATCTGTACTGTGACTCTTCTATTGGAGTTTGCCCCAAACTCTATATAACCTCCATGGATAAATCTCTAGCACTAGCAGATCTGTTGGATCACATGACGTAAGTGTAATTTTTCAGGTCTGACTATAGGCAATTACAAAGGCTTTACCTGACACAGGCGTTGTGGGAAAAAGCCATTCCTTCATCCCATGCTTGGTATACAGCTAAAGTATTACAATCTCTAAAAGAAGTTGCAGTTAAGGACTGATGTCCCTCTGGCTCTTCATGCTCTTCACATATTTACATTCCTAGCTCCAGTAACATCATTCCTAGTCATTCCAAGTTCTCTTTATCTGAGGCCTTGGGCAGAGATCTTGTTCAGGTGACTCTGCTCGTATCTCCTTCCTTATCGGGCAGGACAAGTGGGAAACCTTGAACACATTTATTCCTACTCAGGCTCAGTACCCAGTTACTTCCTATTCCTAACCCTTCCTCCACCTCGTCATCTACAGGGTCCATACAGCAGCCAGAGCCTTTTGTTCAGGGTTCCCTCAACAGTGAGACAACCCCACATCTCTGCTGATCCACCTGACCCTCAACTGGCATGTCATTTTATGGGGGAAATGAAGCAGGGGGGAGTTGACATCTGGTCTCTTTTAGCCTTTTGTTTATACCATCACAGTAAGTGATTAAAGGCTTTACTGTTACCTTCATTATGGCTCCTCTCCTTCTGGTATTCAAATGAAGTGTTTGTTCCACGTTTTTAAGTTCTCCCACAGTCCTCGAATACATGTCAACTCATTTTATGCTTATAACAACCTGAAAACAAGGTGCACTGTCCACATTTTTTTAGTTCAGGACACTTTCCAGTTGAAGTCCCACACTTGGTGAGCAGCAGAGGATTTTACATTTGCCTGCACATTTAGTGCAGGTTTCTGAAACCTCAGGAGGCCGCCTCTGTGAGGCTTTATAAAACAGAGGGTCGTAGTCCACTAACATTAACGAAGGTGCTGTTCTATCTCTGGGCCAGGCTTTATGCTGCACGCTGTACACGGATTTTCTCAGCTCTCACAATGACCCTACGAATTAGGCAATTTTATTTATTTATTTTTAAAAATTTTTTTTTAACATTTATTTATTTTTGAGACAGAGAGAGACAGAGCATGAACGGGGGAGGGTCAGAGAGAGAGGGAGACACAGAATCCGAAACAGGCTCTAGGCTCTGAG